AAAGATAGGAAGCATGAAAATGGAGATGGAAACCATGAAAAAAAACAGTCAAAAATAAAGAATACAATAATGGAAATGAAGAATACATTACAGGGAACCAACAGTAGATTAGATGAAACAGAGGATACAAACAGCGATGTAGAAGATGAGGTAGCTGAAAATACCCAACCAGAACAGCAAAAAGAAAAAAGAGTCCAAAAAATTGAGGAGAGTTTAAGGGGCCTCTAGGACAATATCAAGCATACCAACATTCGCATTATAGGAATACAGAAGGTGAAGAGAGAGAGCAAGGAATTGAAAATCTATTTGAAGAAACAATGACAGAAAACTCCCCTAGCCTAGTGAAGAAAATAGGCATACAAGCCCAGAAATCACAAAGTCCCAAACAAGATAAACCCAAAGAGGCTATTACTAAGACACATCATAATTAAAATGCCAAAGGTTAAAGACAAAGAGAGAATCTTAAAAGCAGCAAGAGAAAAGCACTTAGTTACCTACAGGGGAGCCCTCATTAGACTGGCAGCTGATTCCTCAACAGAAACTTTGCAGGCCAGAAGGGAATGGCAGGAAATATTCCAAGTGATGAAAAGCAACGACATACAACCAAGGTTGCTCTACCCAGCAAGGTTGTTATTTAGAATTGAAGGACAGATAAAGAACTTCCCAGACAAGAAAAAGCTGAAGGCGTTCATCACCACCAAACCAGAATTATAGGGAATCTTAGAGGGACTTCTTTTAGATGGGAGGGTGGTTAAGGATGGGTGAAAGGGGAGGGATTAAGAAGTACAAATTGGTTGTTATGCAGTAGTCATGGGGATGTAAGGTACAGCATAAGAAATATAGTCAATAATGTTGTAATAACTAGGTATGGTGCCAGATAGGTACTAGATCTATCAGGGTGATAGATGGGAATGGGGTTGGGGAAAAAGGTGAAGGCATTGAGAAATACAAACTGGTAGTTAATACAGTATGGGAAATAGAATCAACAATGTAAAGATCATGTAAGGTGCCAGATGGGTACTGGACTTATCAGAGGGATCACATCATAGACTGTAGATGCCTGATCAATGTGCTATACATCTGCAGCTGTAGTAGAATAATATTGAATGTTAACTATAGCTAAATATATAGGTATATATAGTCACGGGATGTGGAGTACAACATAGGGAAGACAGTCAATTGTATTGTAACAGCTGTACAAGATGTCAGAGGGGTAGTAGCTTGGGGAGTAGGTTATCACTTTATGAGGGGTTTAAATGTCTAACTATTATGTTGCTTTGTACACCTGATATTAATAATAAGAGAGAGAGAGAGAGAGAGAGAGAGAGAGAGAGAGAGAAAATAAGTTCATTATTCTCTTCCTATTATTAGTGTAATGCATGTTAATTTCAAAGTAAGCATGTGGTACAAATTGGATTAAAAAATGGTAAAAATGAATCATACTCACATCACCATAAAGAAACACTGTTTGTATGTGACTCTTCAAATTTGTCTTTAAATTCCATCACCTAGAACTAGACATTGAATAAGACTGACGATGGACAGAATAATCAAGACAATTGGTCTGAATTAAGCAGAAATGAGTATAACAACTTTGGCCTTATTTTGGGCAGTGAAATTTACCAAGGAAGACATTTATTGCTACATTCTGATATTTATAAATTATTTATAATTATTTCACAAAATGTGTTAAGTACTATGAAAAACACAGTTGGAAATGGTTTTATATTTTGCAATACCCACTTGTCTGGCACTTATTTTCTGCTTTGAAGCAAAAATGAAAAAGTGCAAATAGTAAAAATGCACCTCTTCAATCTTCCATTACCTTCAAGTGGAAATTCAAGTACTGAAAAGTGGTAAACTTTTATTCATTAGTTCAGCAATTCTTTAAGAAATACCAATTATAACACAACACTGAAGATAGTGAACAAAATATAGGTTTTGTGTCTGCATGAATGGACCTCATGATCTTATGCAGTTCAGCAAAATATTCTTTGAGCATCCTCTCCAGAATAGAAATCTCACCCATTTTTCAAGGTCTGGCTCCATTCCACCAATTCCATGAAGTTCTCTTTGCACTGTTCTGGCTCCTGTAGGTTTACCCCTTCTCTGACATTTCATAATTCTTACAGATGGTGCCATTATCAGACAATTTTGGTCTTATACCATCAGGAACTGATCTCTATTAAATGCATCTAAATCCTTTGTCCTCAATAAGATTAAAAAAAAATCACTTAAAGACAAAAAGACTTGGGATGGGGTAAGGACCAAATTTTCTGAATGAATATCTACTGATACTAGGCAAGGCATCTAGAATATTCCTGGCAAAAGCATTTGAATATAAATAAAAAACTTATTTAAAAAAATAAAAATAAAAATAAAAAAATAATAAAAAAATAAAATAAAATAAAAAACTTATTTTACTGAAAGCATGGTTCTTGACAATCCATAGAGATGACAATAAAAACATGTCTTAGCATGGACACCTCACAGAACTGTTGCAAATAAAAGGGACTTGGTGAGGATTTCCCAATGGAATTTCATGACATCCTCTTCTTTTTACTTGTTATTTTAAAGGCAAATTGTTCATTATTTACAAAAGATGTTGTAGTTTAAATGTCCCTAAATGATCTAAACAACAATCTAATCAGTTTTCCATTTCAAACAATAGTTAAATTAAGGTTTAGTTGCACATTGAATTTGAAAATGGGGAAAATGATTGTTTGATATCGCATGACCACATCCACTGATTTAAATCTGTAACCAATTAGAATACAGTTAGACTGATAGGGGAGTCATTCTGTGAATCTGATCTATACTTCAGCATTCTGAAATAAGCTTGTTGTTGTTACTTACAAGTTTCTTTAGAAGCACCTTAAAATTGACTTATATGATTTATAAGACATGCTTTGAACAGGCATCTTAATGAAGCACAGCACGATATCCAAATTAAGTATATTGCTTAAAGGAAACTAAGTTGTAAGGAAGCTTAAGATGAAGATTTATGCTGATAGAACTAGGACATGCTTGTCCTTTTTTGTAACCTTTAAGGCTGGAAATTGTTCAGTTGGAGGTCATCTGAATGGCTTTCTTCACTGCCAAGAGCTTCTAATTGGTATAACTGTAGTTCTGACCATCTTTTTAGTCTGCAGAATTGTTTGAGATGAAATTTTTCAGAAATGGGAAAACAGGCTGAGATAGTTATGCCATGTGCCAGGTTATGATGAAGGGCATAGAGTTTGAGACTGAAAGAGAACAGCTATCAAGGAATGGGAAGAATCCCATGAAAAAGTCCGTGTGAAGCAGAATTTGTTCAACAAATTGTACTAACATAGGTCTTTTCATTTTCTGTTTCACATTAGGTCCTTTGGAGCTGTGTCTTCCTATTAGAAGACATGTCTACTAATTTTTAAGCAGTAGGAAGACTTCTGAAAACTGTCTGGGAAGAACATGCTCCTTTGGTGTTGTCACCATTCCTCTTTGACAGTCACATGTCCCTTCTTTGCCAGCTCTCTAGCTGCATCTGGGCTCAGGCAATAGGAGAAGGCACTTAATCATTTTTTTCTTTTGCTAAAACAATTGCAAATTCTAAAGTCAGGCAAAGTGAAAGTAATGTACCAAAACACGAATGGCAGAATGTTTTCTCTATTCTCATGTAAAATATGTGATGGGTCACCATTAATGGTAAAATTTAATATCAGAGGAAAGACACAAACCTCAGTCTTCCAAACAAAAATAAGTCAACTGACATTAAAAATTATTTGAAAAGCCAAAGAAGCTCTATATACCCACACGCACAAAAGCTCTTCCTTGATGGCATCTTGTACTTTCATGTTTGGCTGTTTAATACTTCTCTCTGCTAGCCACGTAGACCAAAAGCAATTAACTACATTTCTTGAAAACAGAAGCCATATTCCTCTCTCTCTCTTTTTTTTTTTTTTTGGTACAAAGTCTAGCCCACAGTGTTGTGCTTAACTATAATGTTTCCTTAACAAAAGAGCAATCTATATACAAATTTGCTTAGAAATCAGCTTACACAATAGATAACATCCCAGTTGTCTCATTGAACCTCATTCTGACCACAGAAACAGATGTTGAACCAAACCAAAGGGCAGGGTATGGCTAATCCAATTTACGACATCTCACCAAGTCTCAGGTTTATAGTGATGTATTCCAAACAGGCTATAGTGTAACAAAAAGGGCCAAACAAAAAAATCCACATCAAGAACCTCCAAAAACCACATTAGTGTTAATAAGAGCTAATGCCTCAAGGAGAGAATACGGTCTACTGATCATGATCTATTTCTGTAGTGACATCTCTTCCCGGTGCCACCTAAGTCTTAATTGTTTTCATAGTGTCCATTGCTGACCAAAAGTGCATACCAGATAACAATAAAAATGAAATAAAGCTGGTTCTAGTTGTTATTTATTTGAATTAATATTTCAAACAGGGTTTTCCAACTGTCTGCTGTTTTCGTTGGAACATTAACAGTAACAAAGCCTCGTGTTCTTGGGAAATGAAACATCGATTTTTCACAATAGGTAGTTTTACATAACCTTGTTGGTGGTGACTGATTCATACAGGTGACCAGAAATGCGGGTACACAGTCACACATTCACATATGAAAACATGAGCAGTTCTGTTCTCACTGACCTTCAGGTTGGTATTGTGCTATAATCGTCACCGTCTGTCCAGCCCCCTTTAGTGCAGCAGCAGCCTGTTCATGGGATGCTCCGCGGAGGTCAATGCCATTCACCTGAAAGACGGGAAGCCAGGGAATGTTGGCGTCTCATAAGGTACGTTATTCAGATAGACAGAAGAAAAAATTTCCCCAAACTGAGAGGCTGTCTAAGATTACTTCACCCGCCTCAAAACCCCTCATAGCCTCTATCCAGGCCTTTGAGTGTTAACTTAGTAGGTTCCATGCCCTTGAGAACTTCTAGCTAGCAGACACATGAAATTTCATCTTGTGTTTGAGCTATGGTTTGACTGGGTTGAAACTTTTTTGTCTGCCCACGTCCACTGAGATTTTAGTGTGTGCATTTATTTAATATGCCTTGGTGAGCTTCCTAGATTTCTGGGGTAGATGGAAACCTTCAAAATTAGAGGAAAAACAGGACAATAAAGAGAGACACATGTAACGTGCATAGACAAGTATGTGCTGACAGATTAATATATTCAGATGAGGTTCTGGGGAGACTGAATGGAATGGGGCTGGCTGCGCGCCAAATCCCCGTCTTTGGTCATATGCCTGGTCCTGTCATCCGGAGCTTGGTTAGATAGCCCTGAGCCTTGTTCCAAAATAAACTCGACTGCCCCATTTCTCATGCACAATTCCGGCATGAATTCTGACAAAATAAAATAAAGAATGTCTGGAGTTTATGTTGCTGTTGCTGACTCCCATTTTGGGGCCCATGCCAAAAGAGAAACAGAACATCTAAAAAACAAGCACAAAACTCTGCCAAGAGTTTTTCTGAAGTCAAATTTAATGAGAAGCAAAAGCTAAACTCTTTCTCCAATCAATTCAGTCTAAGTCAACACAATATAATTACTGAGAGCTTTTCAGTGACACAGCTATCTTTCTGCCCCAGGAGAGGGAGGATGGGTAGAGAACAAAGGTGGACAAGATAAGCCCTAGGAAGCTTTTCTGCTTCAAATGAATACACAGTAAATCCAGTTTTCTAACCTATACAAAAATAGGTTTTTGCAGATGATATCAGAACTCTGCTTCCTTTTATTTACAGGGAAACCGGCTACAGCCCATGAGAAAGAATAAAATAACTGATCAGTTTACCTGCACATAAAATATAGAATCTTATTTGGCCTTTCATGAATCCTCTTTGATAATAAAATTGAGGGTGAGGGGAGGGGGTTACCACTGTGTTTCCCTATCAGGCCCGGAACATCAAATTCTGGTCCTCTCATAACAACCTTGTGCAAGTCTCCTTATTCACTTTTATACATATCCTGGCTCCTTCCTTGGCTTTCTATTCTAATGAGCTCCTTGCTGAAAGCACTGATTACACACAGTAAATTGGGAAGTCCACTAATCTAGGCTTGGTCTGGCTGTGCCACTCACTAGCTGAGTGTCTGTCTAAGCCTCAATTCTCTCCTGCCTTTTTAAGGTAGACTCAAAAAGCTCTTTGAGTCTCATAGCTCCCCTGAACTATATAATCTCAGATCTACTCCTGGTAGAGGGCAGTCATTTCAGAGAATGTCCAGGCACTGATGAGTCAGGAGTATGACTCAGAGAGCCGGAAGAGACAGGAAAACTAATCTGATCTAGGCTCTTGCCTACAGTAAGCTCAATGCACATACGTCATGGACCAAATAACCTCTTCTCTTGTCAAACAGTTTGAGTTAGTTTTTTATTAAAAAACAAACAAAACATGTGATTAAGGTAAATGAGTTCTAATGTTCCAGAAAAGTATATAAGGAAAAGTAAAAAGCCCCTTCACCATCTGCACCCCTGTGGTAATCGCTGTTAGCAGTTTCTTGTGTATACTTTATAGAAATCTACTACTGCACATGTAAGCACATGACTTCATCTCTATTTTTTTTTCTATTTTAATATATTACTGCCTTTTAATTTAAATGAACAGGATCATATTATATATATATAATTCTATAACATATTTGGTTTGCTTTTTATTTAACCATGTATCTTGCTTATATCATTCTATTTTATTAATTGGAGCCTATTCCATGGTATGGATGTACCAGAATTTTTTCAATATGATCCCTATTGATGTAGTTAGGGTTGTGTCTGTCTTTTGCTACCACAAACACTTATAAATGTATTTCTAAAGGATAAATTCCCTGGAACTATACTTCCTAGGTCAAAGGGTATAAACATTATTTATTTCTTTTAATTTGCTATTGCACATTTTAAAGATGACTATTCACTAAACAAATAGGAACTAATAAACAAGCAACCAAAAACAGGCCATAATCTCATTGCCCAGGCAATGCATTGATATAAAAATAAAATTAATATGTGTACATAATGCATACATGAAAGTTAAAGCAATACAAAAAGGCATAAAAAGGTTCCTCCCTCTTATTATTCTCTCCAAAGTAACCATGTTGATGGTTCTTGTATATACTACCAATTATTTTTGTTATGAATATAAGCAGGTTTATGAAATTATAAATAATTTAAAATTTTTATACAAGTAATATATTTACACATTGTTTTATACCTTGATTTTTTCCCCACTTACTAATTTGTCTTAGATTGCTTTCTTCATTCACATATTCCTATATAGTGTCTCATTTTTTTAAAACAGCTATGCAGTGTCTTATTATTCAATGTAAAACAATTTATTTTGCCAGAACATGGTTAATGGACCCTTAGGTTTCTTCAGTATTTTGCTATTATAAACAATACTTCAATAAGTATCATCTAACAATAACTTTTTGGATAAAGGGTATGAGTGTTAAATCTTGACAGTATTGCCAAGTTGTCTCCCAAACTGTAGTATTATTTTATACTCCTACAAATAATATATGATTGGCTACTTCCTCACACTCATGAAAATTGCATATACCCCAACATTTGACCTTTGTCATTCTGATAGGCAGAAACTATATTTTTAAATTTTGCATTTTTCCAATTATGAGGTTAAGCTTCTTTTTATATATTTGTTGGTTATTTAAATATCTTTTTTGCATGAAATGCCTGTTTACTTATTTTGCTTATTTTTTTATTTGGATAGTTTGTTCTTTTAAAATTTTATCTGCATATTAAAAAATGTTAGTGTTCTATCTCAGATAACTATTGCAAATACACTTACTAGTTTGGTATTTGTATTTTTGTTACTGTATTTTTACTATTTTAACTTTCCTCTCTATGATATTTCTTGCCAATCAGAAGTTTAAAACATTTTATATGAGCATATTTATCACTTTTTTTCCTTTTCAGCTTTTGAGTTTTGTATTATATCTTCCTTTCTCCAATATACTTAACAAATTACTCATGTTTTCTTCTAGTACAACCATAGTTTAATTTGTAGCCACAATCTTTGATTTACTAATATATTTTGGTGTTTGATGTGAGAACCAGGTGAACAACCCACCCTTTCTTGGACCTTTATAGCATCAAATTTCTGCATCTTTCAATGTTTCTCAGTGCACTAAGAGAACATGGAATAATGAGAAGAAACAACAGATTTGAAGTCAGAGAGAATGGGGTTTGAATCCTGAGTCTACCAGCTTTACCTAAGTAACTTGGGAAAGTCACTTAGCCTTTACAGGTTTCCTTACCTGTAAAATGGGTATAATGCCTATCAAGGCTGTTACATAAAATAAATAAGACAAAAATGGAAAGCCCTTAACCCAGAGCCTGGTACAAATAGGCATTCTGCAAATAGTATCTATTATTGTTGTATTTCTTCAAAGAACTGTGGTTATAAGAGATGAAATCAAATCTAATGGAAATTAACCAATACATAATATAGTAT